GGTCATACCTAAAACTCCTAATGTAACATTTCCTGGACCAATTATGGAAGCGCAGCGTCCAGGGAAGAACGTAGGATCTGTAAACATTTTAAAATGAAGAAAGAAGGTTGGAGCAACAAAGACAGGATCTCGGAAAACTCATTGAATGAACTTACTATCGCTTGCTCTGATGTAGTACCCATTTTCTTTGGAAGGGTTCACGTCCAACAACCGCATTACTCGGTCAAGAAATCCATGAACAATTTCGAATCCAGCAGTCTTGTTATAGTAAACGGCGCCTAAACGGCGTTCATTCCGCGCTCCTACGTCTGAAATCGTTCATAGTCAGTTTGACGATGTTAACATCAATTATATTTACAACAATATAGTTTGAAACAAAAACTGCATCACAAAGGTAAAACCGTTACTGTGGCAGTTTATAACGGCCACAGTAATGGTTTTAACTTTGTGATGCAGTTTATAACGGTCGAGCAAAATATGCGTTGATCCAACTAAAACTCGAACTGACACAGATGGAATGCATTCACAGCATAGACAGTATCAAGCTTGGTAAGCATTCAAGAGTTGTTGATTGAAAAGAACCAGGGCAGGATTATGGAGTGTCTTCCCACCCCTTCGTGTATTTTGACAAAATGAACTTAGGCATTCAAAAATGACCACAAAAAGTACCAGAAGATGGATCCTTCATTATGACGTCTTGAAGCTCGAATAGTTTTAGAGGTAGTGGCATATCTCGATTTGATGAAAGCGTCTTCATCAGGCCAGGGAGCAGTGATGATCGGGCAACCTGCAAAACACTAAGCATCTCTGCAAAGAATCTTGGCTACAAAGGAGAAGAAATACCTGGAATTCCTGCGTTTTCGGATTCGAAATATGTACGGCATTCTCAAGTGCCTTGTCGTCCCTCAGACGCGTGGAAATATCTTCTCTTGAGCATAAGGCAAAGTTGAGAGCTTCCGTCCAACCGGCAGCTGCTATCTCTCCCCGAAGTAGATCCGATAACTTATTCAACGGAAACACTTCGGCTACAGTGTTCGACTTAAAAAGTGATTTTAAGAAAATAGGAAATATTTAAATGCTTTTATCTGAACCTTGAAACAACCTCAGGAAGTCGGCAAACTAAGTTGTTGAAGCCATACGCCACACCCACGTCCTCGGCAACATCGCATTCATGCAGTATATCGTGCCTCGTGGGAGGAATGGTCACCTGAATGTTGAGATTGGCAAATTGTTTTCATTTAGTTCGACGTTGTCAAATTGTTATAGAACTAAGCCGTACCTTCAAGGTATTCTCGGAAACAACTTTTGCTTTGAGTGACATTTTAATAAGCAAATCAGCCATAGTTTGAGCGTCAAGTTGGAATCCTATCTTTGTGTTAATCTCAGAAACACGCACCATAATTTCCCGGCACGAAAGTACCTGTAAAAGTATCGGCTGCTGTAAAAGAGAAGTTTTTGTGGCTCAATAATGAGCAGCAATCAAGTCCCTATTCTTATATTCAAGAAAAAAAACTTACAGGGTACTCTTCTCTCCGACCGCTCTCCTCGTAAAACACTTCTACTGGTTCTATCCTAAAGTTACGCTTTTACGAATAGTCACCTTAAGGCGAGGGTCAGCCTTCGCGATCCAACGATTCGCTAGTAGCGGATCCGTGGATTCGCTGGTAACTCTGCAGATTTGCTACTACCAAATCGCTGGAAGGCAAAATTTGACACGGGCCCCAAGGTTTAGACAAAATAGAAATAGCAAAAAGTACACACAAGACATTTCAAATAAATACTGAACATAGTACTTACGTGAACGGTTCCTTGCAATACTGACTGAACATTGTTACAACAGTGTCAAGGACGACGGTTGCCTGCGAAAGGAAGGTTAATGGAAGAAAGAAGCAGACGGAACTAAAAAAAACCTTTTGCAAATCCGTCGCGGTCGCTTCTATAAAAATGTTTTTTGTATTGAGGGTGATTTTCGAGTGTTCGCCTGAAATCAATAAATAACATAAACAATGAGAAACACTTTGAATTCTAATTTGATCAAACAAAACTAGCGCACCATTTATAATAGGAGGCATGGAGCACACTATTCCATTTGCATCGTAAATGACTGGATACCGCTCTTTATCACGAATGATTGGCAGATAAGGCTTCAAGTGGCTGTCAGTCTGAATGAAAACATAACTTTTGTGGAAGCAAGACATTGCGAAAGAAAACATACTGAGTAGAATTCCATTAATTCGCAGGCAGTGAATTCCTTAGTTTGATTGAGAGGGACGAACTTTATGTCCTTTGGCAAGTCAGCGGTGTATTTGAATGGACCTAAATACAAGCTTTTCTTTCTAGTTAGCAAATTCTGCAGTTCATATTTGGAAAGGACTGCTATGACACAGTGTAGGCCAAATTCATGGAAAGTAAATTAATGCTGCGCAAAAAAGGAATGAGCTTGAGATGGGAAACTGCTACTGCTAGTCTAATATCCACACAAAAAACTGGGTAAGAACCACTAGTTCCATAGAGTGCGGTTTATATCTACACAAACTAGCTAGAAGACTTTCGGGCAACGCGTTGATAGGGCCGACGAGGATGGTGGCATCCTACTCCTTCGAGTTCCAATCATACAACAGTCGTTGATACGGTTGACCTCACACTGAGCTGGACTCGAGAAACACCAGACAGGGCTATCAATCGGATACAGTTCTAACAACTAGGAGGCCATTCATCGGAAGGGATAAGACCAACGTTTCAATTACCGCTCTTCGCGCTGGGTGCCTTCTTGAAAACTTATTGCTCTTGCCGAAATGTTTATGAGACGACGTGAGCTTTGTTTTCGGAAACGATTTAAATGACTGCTCTAGTTGCTCTTCATGTCCTTTGGGTGAACTGTGCAATGCTTTTCCCCAGTGTCGCCCATTCCGGCCGGAAAAATCAAAGAATTCATATGACTGCTGCAAGTGGAGGCCATAAAAACTTAAAGCCATATAAACTTGCGTGGGTTCGATTGCCTAGAATGTATTGCTCGATTAGCGAACCTAGTGTAGTGAAAAAGAAGTCTCAGTGTGCGCTACCGTAGAATCACTGTAGAAGCTTGTCACTTTCGCATTTCGATGTCGTGTAAAAGAAAATGATCTTGCGGCTTGTTACTTGAATGGTTTTTGTATACGCCGGTTGAGTCGAAGAATGGATTAACTTCTTTTTTGGTCTCACGCATGATCGCAATTGGCGCATGAACGACCCCTAGCTTCTGTCATTCGCCCTCGTTGAAGAAGGCTCTCCACTTTGTTCGTCATCAGAAATGTTTCTTTAATCATTGATCAGCGAATGTGCTGATCGATTTGATATGATAATGCCAAGTCGAAGTTGACGGAATATGGATCTCCCTTGTATTCAATAGAAAAAATATGCTATACGAAGTTATTACGACTGCCACGATTAAATTAAACGAAAACTACAAAAAAATTTCTAGTAAACAGAGTAGTTAAGAAACTAAAGATTCTGTACGCTCGTCTAGTTTCCATATTTTTGCCCTACCCTAATGATGCAGGCATGAAATATATTGCAGAAATATAAACGAAATGTCATCTTGATAATAAAGCCTTCTCAGGTATTCAAATTATATCACGATTTCAAATCTTCACTCTTCATGTATTAACTTGATACCATCACCTCATTCATATGCGATCAATGAAACGCAAATCGTTCCCTCCGTATGCGCATAATATGGCAATTTAGAGTGCATTTTGCAGGCAACCGAATGCAATGAGTTTAAGCGCCTTTTACACGGGTATTGACTACACAGTTACTACCGAGCATTTGCATCAACGAGCTTATTTACATTAAAAATTCTCGAGTGTTCGATTGATAGCACCATTATTCTCTGCTTAACGTGCCTTCAATTTACCATGATTAAAAAGAGCTTACCAGAAACAGTGTCCAGATCGTGTGTACCAATAGCCACCAAAGTTCGCTTTCGACAAATATTTTGATGAAGCTTGTCCTGGAAATCGAAGAATTGCACTGGCTCTATAATGAGCAGTACTGAAATACCTGCAGATCAATGAAGGACGCGTAGTTATCTGGATCGAAAGTAACATTCCGAAGAATAGCACCAACCACGAAAGGACGCACTGCCGCTGTCTTGAAATAAATCAAAGGTAAATAGGATTGATGCGTTAGGTCTACTGTTAATAGAAACCGAAAACGAGATGCAATTTCATTATGGCTGCCTTCATGCGATCTAAAATGAATTCACCACCACTAATTCAGCATTCATCTGCACAGCCATGCGTTCTTTGTGTGAGGTTTGTTTGGCCGCACGCCTACTAAGCAATCGGCACTGCAACCAGGTCAACCGTGACGTTCGCATTTTTTCCAAAATTTCGCGACCTCCTCCTTTAGGAGGGTCTCGATGCGACCCCCCACCACCAGAGACTCAGGAGACCCCCAATACACCACCACCTCCGACCACCACCCTCGCCATCATGGCTGTTTCTATAGTATTTGATTCTGAGACCAGTCGACACAGCCCAACTCCGCCCACTTTTCCTCCAAACGACCGTCGAGCGGGGGGGGGGGTCTATGAAACGGCTAATTTTCTCTCCTACTTCCACCTACCTACCTCCCGCTGGTGCAAGCCACTATGCCACTTCCATCCTCAACAAAAAACAAATCTAAATCGTTTTGGCCATTCCCTCTAATCACTAATCCCACTCTTCCTACCCAACCCCTGAATGCGACCTCCCCCTTCCCAAAACCAATAATGCGACCCCCACCCCCTTCGAATAGTGCGAACACACGGACCCTGATTACAACAGCCTAATGTTGCTGTAGCAACCTTAGAAGATACGAAGATAGGATACATGTCTCTATTACCACAAGAAAAACTAGTACTAGAGACGGAAAGAGCCAACTTTCTCTTAAAAATCTTCACCTTATCTGTGACGATTATCTGCTGGAGAGGACCAGCGGGCCGCTTCAGTTTGTAATTTGGACTCTTCATTCTGAAACATAACAGTAATCCACTTGAAGTAAGCAACTGCAGGGTGCCCCAATTGCTGTCCTAGTATTTAAGAGATGGCCAAAGCTCACTCAATGCGATCTGTTCAGCCGCATGCATGAAACAGGCCTTGCAATAAGAAACACCGCTTAATTTTATACGATTTTCATTAGAACTGTATAGGGCTATCAAAACACAGACGGAAACAAGATCACTGATGGACATGACTGGTTGAGAAAAAAGCGGTGCTAACCTACTTCGAGGGGGGGGGGGACCACGCGGCGGCGC